TCACTATGAATCAAGATCTAGACAATGACATTATCTCCAGTGTTCGACAGGGGAATGAACTAAGATCAGTCTATAAAGACTTTTCACTGGCCTGTGGACATTTCCTGCAATGGCATTTTCTTTCAGCAGTTTGGTTTTGTGGTTATCTGTTTATGCTGTTGTCTTTCTGGTATAGTAGAACCCATCTTCCCAACCTCCTGCTAGGCACTTTCTGGAAGAGTCACTCAGTCCTTGGTTATACCTGACGCTATGAATGATAGAGATAGTAGCAGTTCTGAATCTTTTCTCTTTATTTTGAAAAGCACTAGATCCTTTTTATGTGGCAGATGACCCATTCCCCTTCCCCTACCCCATCACCCTTAGCTTAGGGAAACTTATTTCAATATTGGTTTGGGAAAAAGTGGCAGCTTAGAAGCCAAACAGAGATGGTTTCTGATCCCAGATCTTCTACTTACCAGGTGGATGACTTAGCAAATTTACTTACTCTGTCTGAGTTCCCATTTCCTTATCTATAAAATAGGGGCAATATTTTCCTTTTTGAGTTGTGTGAGGGTACCATGATATTATCAATATAATGCACCTGGCTTAGAACTTGGCATATGGTTGGAGCTTCCCACAAGAGCTTATAGTCTTAGATGAGGGAAATGATACATCCAAATAACCTTTTTCCTGCTGTGGAGGATAAAAATACACATAGAGCCTTATATCCTATTGTAACCCTTGTCATTATCTTCCCCTTTTTTGGGAAGCAGTAACAGAGGGGAGGAGTTGACAAGACAAAGCAAGTGACTGACTCTAGAGAAGTAGATAAAGTAGTGGGAATGTGCATTAGTGATATGGTTTGGCTGTGTCCCCACCCAAATCTCATCTTGAATTGCAGCTCCCATAATTCCCAGTGTTATGGGAGAGACCTAGTGGGAGGTAATTGAACCATGGGGGCTGGTTTTTCCCATGTTGTTCTTGTGGTAGTGAATAAGTCTCATGAGATCTGATGGTTTTATAAAGGGGAGTTCCCCTGCACATGCTCTTTGCCTGCCACCATGTTAGACGTGACTTTGCTCCTCTTTTGCCTTCTGCCATGATTGTGAGGCCTCCCCAACCATATGGAACTGTGAGCCCATTAAACCTCTTTCCTTTATAAATTACCCAGTCATGGGTATGTCTTTATTAGCAGCATGAGAATGGACAGACTAATACAATTAATTTTTCTACTATTATTTCTATTATTGCATAGCAAATCATTGCAAACTTATCACCTTAACACAACACCCATTTATTATGTTTCAATATCCATGGGTCAGGAGTCTGGGTATGGGTTAACTGGGTCCTCTGCTCAGGGTTAACTGGGCTGAAATCAAGGTGTCAGCTGGGCTCATCTCATCTCATCTCATCTCATCTCATCTCAGGCCCAGAGTTCTCTTTCTTTCTTTTTTTTGAGACGGAGTCTCACTCCATCGCCCAGGCTGGAGTGCAGTGGCCAGATCTCAGCTCACTGCAAGCTCCGCCTCCCGGGTTTACGCCATTCTCCTACCTCAGCCTCCCAAGTAGCTGGGACTACAGGCGCCCACCACCACGCCCGGCTAATTTTTTCATATTTTTTAGTAGAGACGGGGTTTCACCGTGTTAGCCAGGATGGTCTCGATCTCCTGACCTCATGATCCGCCCGTCTCGGCCTCCCAAAATGCTGGGATTACAGGCTTGAGCCACCGCGCCCGGCCTCAGAGTTCTCTTTCAAGTTCATTGGTTGTCGGCAGAATTCAGTTTCTTGAAGTTGTAGGAGTGAGGCCCTCAGCTCCTAGAGGTCACCTGCCATTCCCTGCCACATGTCCCTCTCCACAACACGATAGTTTGCTTCTTCAAGGCCAACAGGAGAGCATCTCTGCTGCTTCTTGTCTCTTTTAAGTATTAACTCAGGATTATACTCTCTCTTTTGATTAACTCAAAGTTGATTGAGTACAGACCATAAAACCCTTTTTGCCTTGTAATGTAACGTAAGTCACAGGTTCTGCCTACATTCAAGGGAAGGGGATTATACAGGGTACATGCACAAGAAGGCAGGAATCTTGGGAACCATCCTAAAATTCTGCCTATCACACAGTGGCCCCTGGATGTATCCAAATAAACAGAGGAAAAACCTTCTTGTTTTGCTTTGTTCTATTTTTAGGAGAACAAACATTCCTAGGGCACTAAGCCTGCTATCTTGCATAACTCAGCCATGGTGAGATTGTTAAATAGGGAGGAAAAGGGAGCATGGTGAACCCAAAGATGCAGGGCAGCCTTACAATGGCAGTGGAGCAGCTCATGAATGAATGGATTGAACTGTGGTTGAACTGTTACTTAAGAAAAGGAATAGATTTTTTAAAGAAGGAAAAATGGGATAGTTTTCCCTGGAAGAGCTCCATTAGTGCCTGTCTGCCTGGCTCTAGTGGACACATAATACTAGTTAATGCTCTGTGGCCAAATGACGTCACTGAGAGCAAAGGCATTAAAGAGTTTTCCTCCTTTCCCTGTCTAAGAGATAGACAGGATGGTGGCAACTGATGAGTGAAATGTTCACCTGCTAATGTGTGGCAGAAATCTGATATAGCTTCTCAATGGAGAAAGAAAAAGATTTTGGAAAGGAAAAGGTGAGGATACCTGGCCCTGAAGGCTGTCATTGTGAGGGCTGGTTCTTCCCGGGAGCCATGAGTAGGCTGCCCATGCTGGAACTCATGCATTACTCTTTGCATCTGTGAATTCACAGTCCCAAGCAGCAGGCAGAGTTTAGCAGCCCAGAAACTCAGCACTGGCTTGCCTAACAAGCACAGTAGAAATGTGTTTAGGGTATCAGCAAAGCAAGGGCACCAAAAAATGCTTTTTTTCAAGTAACTTGATATTTAATATTTAATAATGAGGGAAGATAATTTGCTGAACATCTTTACACTAATTTTATGATATGCCAATTGATTCTGAAATTTGGGATCACCTACTGCAGAAAGGTGGAGGTGGAGGAGTGAGGACTATAACCTTTTTGGTGTTCAGGGCCTCTAGAGTCTTGATGCCTGAGACCATCCCTAGAGAACTGTATAAAACCAAAATAGGAAGAGTCTGCCAATGTCATTGCTCCCAAACTATTTTGTCCAGGCAGAATCACAGTTAAACCATTTTGCACAAAGCCAGAAAACAAATGCTTTATGAGGGCAGGGATTCCTGTGTGTTTTGTTCTGTGCTGTGTTCCAACACCTAGCACCATGCCTGAGACTAAGAGCTACTTGGGAATGTTCCATGGGTGGATGGATGTTTCCATTTTCATCAGTCTCTTCCCTTCCCTCATGTTGTCCAACTCCTTTCACTCCCACAAGATCCCAAGACATCATCAGAAGACATTTTATGTTTCTCAAACCTGCCTGATGATAAAAATAACTTTTCATGTAATATAGATTGCCAGACCTTTCTCTTGGAAATTCTGATTCAAAGTCTAGGTTGATGCCCAGGAATCTGTGTTTTTGCCATGCACTTCTGATGAGTCTTTTCTTCAGACCAACATTAAGATAAATAGGAGGGTGTCGGGTTTTCCCCACACAAGAATTGAAGAGCCATGGCCACTTGACCTGGTTTCTGAGGGGCTGTCAAAAGTTACCACCCTAAGCCTCTGGTCAGCTGTGCTGAGGGAATGAGGGACTAGGAAAGAGTCTTTTGGTCTACCTCTTAGTCATCTTGGCCCAGTCCTCTATCCCGGTTCCCACCTTCCTGAAAAGACAAGCCTAAGGGAAGGGGTGCTCAGAAGCTCCTCTACTTCTAGGACTGCCCACTTGGCTTCCTGCCCATTCTTTCCACAGACAGGCTTTATGTTCTGTCCCTTCTCCCAGCTGTCATGAGCATATGAATTCATGGTCCTCTCTGTTGGGTTTGGTAATGACCTCTGCCCCATTGGGTAGGAGTTGACTTCTTTATGCAGACAGAGCCTGATTTTTCAGTCAATCCCCCATTACTGAACCAGAGTGGAAAGAGATGAGACTGGGAGGTGGGAGGAGTGGGGTGGGGCCAGGACAGGAGTCTGGATCTGGATAGTGTGTCTGGAGGGTAAAGCAGACTGGGCCAGTTCTTGCCATTCCCAAGGCTGACAGGCTACCCAGGTGCTTGTGAGGTCCTCTTTGCAGCCATTTCTTAGTAAAAATCCTCCTCATTCCTAACATCTGCTTCAAGCAGAATTTCTGTTTAACTCATGGAGCGTTCCATCCTAGGATCCATGTGTACATGAAGAAGATGAGAGTGGGTTAAATGCTGTGTTTGGGGGAAGGAAGCCTTCCTTCCTTGATCTCTTGGATGAGTTGCAAAAACTCATCTTGCATCTGCAGTTTCCCTCCCTTAATACTCATTACCCCTGTGAGGGTTTCTTTAATGTGTATGCTCACCCCTAGGTGAAACCAAGGAAACTGAGCGATGCTTTGAAAGATGACAGGCAATGGAGCCGGTAGGTAGAGGGCATGATAAGGATACCTTGGGGACGGGACCACAAGGGACAGAGGCAGGGCAAGGTATGGGCCAAAGTTCAGGTGGACAGCAGGGTCAGCATGCAGAACTACAGCTCTGAGGCCTTGCAGCCAGAAGGCTGGAGGTGAGGCAGCCTTTCCATTCATCTCCGAGGCTTTCCTCCACATTTTTCAGAAACAGGACCCCCATCTACACCTCCAAGCAGGCTAGCCAGGGGCTTGTCAGTGTTGATGAGCGACTGTGCCAAGGGTGAGGAATGAAGGTACCGAGAGGAAATTAGCTAGTCATAGGTAGACGGTTGGTGTCTTGGAGCCTTCTGTGCCTCGGCTCAGGGGCAAAGGTTATTCCTATCAGTATCGTAAATGCCAAACCTTTCTCCGGCCTTGAGTTAGTTCTTAATGTGAATGCAGTAGTCTGGACTTCCACTCCACCCAGACTTTACTCCTGTCCTCTTCCCCACCCCAGGGTTGGCCAAAAGCACAACTTAAAACCACTGATGGACAATGCTCTGTTTCTTTGTCTTGCAGCCGTCTCCAACCTGGACATCGAGAGTAAGCTGAGTGTGTACTACCGCGCCCCGTGGCACCAGCAGCGCAACATCTTCCTCCCGGCCACAAGGCCACCCTGCGTGGAGGAGCTGCACCGCCATGCCCGGCAGAGCCTGCAAGCCCTGCGCAGAGGTGACAGATCCTGGGCTTGGGGGCTTTTGCAGGAGACAACTCAGAGGTTGTCCCAGCCAGGTGTCCTCTGTCCCATCAGCCCCAACACACCCCCTCGTTGTAGCAAGTACTTTGAAATGCTTCCGTTTCTACCCTGAAATGAAATCCATGGGTAATATGCCCTACCCATACATGTAAGAAAAAATAGCATTATGGTCTAAATATGATAATAAAGAGAAATTGAAAGGAAATTATTTATAATAATATCTATTTCAATATGCAAATGCTCAGGCGTGACCTCACTAGAAGACATCATGAAGCAGTCAGATGTTTGCACTTGTCAAAAGTAAGTCTGGATTAAGTACAGACCTTCAGAAACTATTCCAAGGGGCAGGAGGGCATGGCCATTGAAACTGGTACATTCAGTATATATTAGATATGGGCAAAAAAATAAATACTTTGGATTATAATGGATTATATGAGTTTGACTCATAAATAGGCACTAGGCTTTTCCCCTATAAGAGATTCTGATGGAACATTTAAAATTGTGTGAGACCTGGGACACCTTTTCATTGACCATCCTTTGCATTATGGGATGGCTGTCATCTTTGACTCCCACCCAATCATTCTGACAATTAGAATGATCCCCTAGAGGGCTCTTCTGCTTCTCTTGAGAACCAGTGATCAGTCTAATGCCCCCATTCTTTAGTGGGTCACATGGAGGCCTAGAAAGGTGAGGAAACTTGTTCAGGGTCACACATAGCAGATCAGGTGTGGTACCAGGACCCAACCTAAGCATCTGAAATGCCTGCCAGAGCTCTTTTCCTCCTTGTCACACACTGTGTCTCATGGAAATAGATACTGATATTTACATGTCTCTCACAGTCCTGAGAAATCTAGAGATAGGCTCATAGCAGTCAAAATAGGAATACAGCTCTTTCTTACACTGGTTGCTTTTCAGTGCCTTAAAACCATTCTAATTAGGACAAGGGGAATAACAAGTAGCATCATTGTTTTAGAGCCCCCCTAAAGTGGGTATCAGTAGGGGACATGTCAGCTTTTTCTGGCCTTTAGATTCTTGCTATGGAGATAGATGGTGTCTACACATTCAACGTCTTTCTTCCAAATTCCCTGCACTCTTTTAAGAAATGGCATTTTGCAAAAGTATTAAAATGCAAGTAAAATATTTTAATGTCATTATCAAAGTGGAGAAACAAAATGGTGATAAATATTGTTTTCATCTTATTTATTCCACATTTGTATAACTCCTGCCTTTCCCCCATCCTCATCTTTAATAGTTTGTTGCCTTCAATTACCATCTTTTTCTCCCTCCTCCTCTTTTTTCCCTTCCTCATCTTTTTTTTTCATTTTAATGAAAGAGCTAACCTCCTAATATCCCTAAAGCAATTGTTTCTAAAATTTTTCCTTGGTTATTAGGGGAAGACAATGTGACACTTAAAATGAAGAGTGATGATCACTATCCTCTAGAAGCATCTTTGGCATACTTACCATTCACTTCAATTTTATAGTTGGCTAAAAAGTTCTTTTTTAACTTAAGCCACCTTCTGAAAATCTTTCTTTCCACACTTGCCATTCCTTTGCAGCCTGGATTAGGCACCCTTCCCATAATATTCTGTGCATCCTCCCATCCTGCCACTTATAATCTTATAAGCAACCACTATGGGCCTGTTTTGCCAACCAACCACTAATAAGCCATTAATCTATGAGCAACTCAAGGGCAAGGATGATATCTTATTAATTTATTTTATTCAAAGCACTTAGTATGAAGCTGACATATAGTAGGTCCTCAATGAACATTTGTGGAACTGAATCAAGTTTTGCAGAAAACTGGTTGAACACTGAGGGCACAGGATGACTATAAAGGAATCTGATTGTTCTCGCAAAATCCTTTCTCAGGTCTCATCATTAGAAAGCTTGGGTAACATTAGCCCTTTAGGTGTAATTATTTTTATCCCTTTATTTTATTAATAAGTCATCTCTGATTAGGATTTTATGGATTCCACCAGATAACACCAAGCTGCTTGTAAACTATCACATTTCACTGCTTTGTCATGTTTAGACTTAAAGCAGAACAGAAGAACAGCAAGTGCCAATATCAGTTTTCTCTGAACCTCCTCCTGGGGGTGGTGAGACAGGGATGTAGGGCCTCCTGGGGTTTGGAAGGAAGACTGTGGAGATACGTTTTACCCTCCACAGACTGGCTTGTTTTGCGGTTGGCTCGATAGCATATCTTGGGTGTAGTAGTTTTAATAGCACTGCAGAGAGCCATAAACAAGAATTATAGCCATCATGGAATTAAAAACATGCAGTGTAGAATTAAAATTAGAAAGTGACTTTTTTTTTTTTAACCTTGTCCAAGAAACACAATAGCATACTGCTGTATTCATCAGCATAATCTGCTTCTGCCATCTGGTGGCCATGAATAATACTGACCTATCAGACAACTGCCATGCTCAGCAAATGCCACAGTGAGCATCCCTGTAGGTTCTCTATTTGGACAGCTGGAATAGCCTGACTTCCACCATGAGGGAGTGGATAATGAAGCACAGACAAATGAGGCTGTGGTGGCAGCAGCTCTGTGCTTCTTTTGGAGGTGAGACTGTAAGGAGACAGCTGGGGGACCAAGACTAAAACCTAGAAATTGGCTGCCTTCAAGATCTGCTTAATAGCAAACCCCTCAACAAATTTTATTGAAGGCAAGGGAGTGTTCTAGAACCTAGGAGTCAAAAAGCAATAACATATGCTGCCCACAAGGAATCCCTGGTCTAGTGGAGAGACAGACAAGTAACCAGGTCATTTCAATACAGTGATAGGGAGGCTAAGAAGAAATGTACCAAGTCATTCCATAGAGCTTCAGGGAGGGCTTCATGGAGGAAGTAGCATCTAAATGTATTTCAAGTTATTTAGGCTCTGATTACTTTATTCGTTTTCTTAGTAATTCTTTAATGCTCAGAGCCAGTAATGGCTTTATGTGATGCTATTGTTTATGTTCATAAATCATGGAGAGAGAGATTCATAAGCAACTATAAATAGATAATTATATTTTATATTTCCTTTCCTTTCAAGTTTCGGGCTGCAGCATAAGTTTCATTGGTCTGAGGGAATAAGGAGCAGGATTCCACTGCAGTTTCAGGCTCTAGTGAACTAATGTTCTCCCTACCTCAGCACCAGAAAAAAGGTATTATTAGGGAGCCATTAATCTAGCCTGCCTACTCCCAGCCTAGGGCAAAGAAAGATATATATTTAAGATTGTGTAGGAGGGGAGCAATTGAATGGAAAATTGAGTTGATGTTTCCCTTCCAACTACTCCCCTCCTTTCACTTCTTCCTAACCAGGAACACCTGTAAGCGACTCTTCTGTATGGATTTAACAATGTAAACACTTTTCATTGTGTTACCCATTTAGAAAAGCCCACTGTTTGCTTGCATAATGATGGTGGCATTGGAGGTGGGCACTTTAACAAGGAAGACATTTATCTTAAACAGCCTTCTGATAAACATTGACTTTGGAGGCAGTTTAGCAAAGACTACCTACATAGTTTTGAAGACTTTGCTCTAATTGCTTATGGGAGCCATTTGTCAGAAGAATCCCAAGCAAAGGGAGATGGGGAATACTATCACACCTTCTCGACACAGACACTATGTTCAGGCGGCGAGGCACGCGGACAGCCAAGTCAGACATGGATAGAAATCAGAAAGTTCAAGAGTTCTCAGTTCCTAGTTTAGGGGGCAGCACATTGAATGGGGCAAAGAAAATGGAGCCAGCATTGGGGAGGCCTGTCAGAAACAAGTAACAGGACCTAGAAAAGCCTATGGCAGTGAAGGCACCCGCCACAGCCCATTCAAAATACAGAGAAATTGAATACATTCTAATTTTTAAAACTAGACTCTAATGAAAGCATAAATTCACTTTCAGTCACTCAACAAACATGTGATGCAAATACTCCCAACATGAGTTATTTCCAGGTACCAACGGTTGAAAAATGGACTCACATAAATTCCTGAATATGTAGCAGTCAGCTCCCCTGAGCCAGTGACAGCCAGCTCCCGTACCCAGTGAGTGGGCCAGGTAGCTCTGGTGTGTCTGTGCCTACTTTCCACTCCAGTACTGATGGCAGCAAATCTTCCACTATGTTCTCAACTTTTGTTGTTGTTGTTGTTGTTGCTTGTGTTATTTTGAAATAAGTCACACTGAACTCAGAAGTGAACCCTCTTGAACAGATTATGAGATGGACCCACTGAAATGTATGCATCCAATTTCGTATTAATAGTAAGTGAAAGTTCAATTAAAAACCATTCTGAAAATCTTATTTGGTATACAAATTAACTAACGTAATGAAAACTCACTTTTTTTTTTTTTTTTACAGCCTTTTGCTAACACTCCCAAGGGGAAAAGATAAATGGAAAATGCCAAGTGTATTTCAGTATTACTGCTTTTTCTCCTTCTCAGAACACCGGAGCCGGAGCGATCGCCGAGAGCAAAGAGCAGCTGCCCCCCTTTCCATTGCAGCTCCTCCACTGCCAGCCTACCCTCCAGCTCACAGCCAGAGGAGGCGTGAGGTTAAGGACCGTCACTTTTTAACGGTAAGCTTGGTGGCCACCTGTAGCCCTATGCATGCTCCTGAGGAAACATCAGTTTGTCTGGGAGTCAGTTTCCTGCCTCCCAGTGAAAGAGGCTGGGCTGGCTAAGAGCTCAAATCACCGGCATTTGGGAACAAATTAATTTCCCCTGCTTTCATTCCTGAAAGAAATGCCTCTTTTTTGGAATACAGACATATTTTTTAGTTAACTGATTGCACAATGCAGTAAAGCAAGAATAGTTACAGACTAAAATCAGAAAAAAAAATACGTACTTCAAACCTCAGTTCTTCTGCTTGCAAGCTGAAGGATTCAGGATGTTACTTATGTTCTTTGCCCTCAGTTCCCTCATCTGTAATACAGGGATATTAATAGTACCTGGTTTATAGGGCTAGAGGATTAAATGAGATAAGGCATGTAAAGTGCTTAGCCCAATGACTGACTGATACAGAGTAAGACCTCAAGAAATGTTAACCACAACTGCTACTACTGTTATTACTAGTAAAGTAACAGCATGGCTGACTTGGTGGGGTGATCTGGTAAAGAACTTTAGTGTTGTGAAAAATTACCATTTGAAGAGTAATCATGTCATTATTTCATGCTTTCCCATTCTCCAAAGGAGGCTAATTCTCCAGGGTAACTTAATACCATGGTGATGTCATCGCCTCTGCGGCTTTCAGCCCTGACCAGATGGATGTGGCTGTAACTCAGCCCAAGCCCTTAAGCATGGGTCACAGATGATGAAGCTGAGCCCAGCTCAGAACACCCGCAAGCACTATCAGCAGCCACTACAAACACATCACTGCAGATGTGCCTTCTAGGGCCTCAGTGGGGACAACTGAGCACTTTGTGCCTCTAAGCAGGCAACATTGAAGTGAGGGACTATGGCTTTTGGGACCAAATCAGCCCACACTGCCTGTCTGAATGTCTGCATTCCTGCTGTCTTGTCATTCTGGTTCAAGATCCAAAGTCTAAAGAAGTTACAACAGTGTGGGTATGAGTTAAGGTTTTTATTAGAAATTAAATTTGCATGTATAACTCTAAATTGTGTACTCTTATGGCTTTTACAATATGCAAGAGAGATGCAAAATATTTGGGTCACATGGTGCCAAATATCCAGCCAAAAACAGACTTCATCTAAATGAATCCACATGATATAACATAAGACCTTGAATGATATTGGACAAAATATAAAAACATTTTTCCTATTTGTAGCTGGACTGCAGGCAGGTCCTTCAGTGCTCATCAAGTGCACACTGAGTGCCATGTCGCACTCACTACATTGTTGCACTGCAGCCCAAGGATAAGAAAAGGAGATAAGGGCCTCTTAGGGCTTTCTAGTTCTTCAGATAGAGCAGTTTCACATGCTAGTGATTTGTCATAAAGAAGTTCTTAAGCAGCTCAAATCTGCTTGCTGAGGCATTTGCTTTTAATGAGGCATTTTCTGCATTAAAATGTCAAAAATATTTTCCCATTCATTATAACATGTTTTATGGCTAATTAAGTTGGTTTTCTTGGAAGGGGTAGGTGAAAGAGAAGAATTTTGAGCATTTACAGAAATTACATAAAAATATAACCCTTTCTCATGATCTGCATAATTTTTAATAATGTCTAAATACTAAAGTAAGACTATAGGAAAAGCTTAAAATGATGAATAGCAATGAGAGTACTTCATTTACTTACCTAAAAAATATCAATAAAAGAGGACTATGGATTACACTTAGGTAAACTTCAGTAAGTTTGTCCATCCCAAATGATAATACTTAGTATTTCTAAGTAATTTTAACTGTTTATTTGTTCAAGAGTTTGGGTCACTACAATGATTAGAAGAGTTATATCCCTTAGGCCTGGATAGAACATAGTTCAAGCTTACAAGACTGTATATTGCTGAAAGACAAATGGCTGCAGGTAAAGGGACAGGAAATTTGTAGTTAAATTGCTAGATAGACATTTTCTTAGACAACTCTCCTTTCATGTATGAGATTTGGTGAAGCCATGCTTTTCTTCCTTTAAGAAAGCATTCATAATGAGATTGATATACAGTCTTCTGCAACTCTGCAGACTATTGTACTGTACCTTGGTCATTAATGGCATGGACCATGAAGCTAAACTGCCTGACTTTGAATACCAGCTCTAACACTTGCAAGCTGTATGACCCTGGCAAGTTAGTCATTTCAGTGTCTTAGGAATGGGAGTAGATAGTACCTCATAGCCTTGGGATGATAATTGAACGTGATAATACATGTAAACAGTACCTCATACATAAGTACTATATAAGCATCAGACGTTATTATTAGCCAATCAATTCCCTGAAGTATCTATTATATGGTGATAAGATCATAGGTCTAACTGTGTTTAAATACCAGCACTACAACTTTCTGGATGTGTAACTTGGAAAAAGCTATTGTATCTTTCTGACTCCCATTCTCTTTATCTGTAAAATGGGGATAATATCAACTTTTCAAGGTTGTTAAGGAGGCTAAATATGACATTTTATAAATAAGATTAAACTATGCATGTGTATTTGTGCAAGTGCCCAGCACAATGCCTAAAATACCTGAATGTCAGTCTATATTGAAATCATTTATAATAAAATTCTTACCATCAAATGAAAAACCTTAACATATACTCACATATACTAGAGGAAGTATAAACTGTTACACTCTTTCTAGAGGGCAAAACTCTAAATATTCATAACCTTTGATCCAGCAATTTTACATCTAGGAATTTATCCCAAGGCAATAATCAGTGTATGCAAAGATTTATTCACTAGGGTGTTCATCAAAGCACTGTTTACAATGGGAAAATTAATCACAAATATCTCAAATGTCCAACAATAGGGACTTAGTTTAATGAATACTGATATAACTATAGGATAGAATACAATATCAAAAATAGTGTTAGAGAAGAATATTTAATGACATGGGAAAATGTATGTTTTATTATCAGGGATTTTTACATAGTTTATAAATTTGTGTATAGTATAATCTCAAAAAATGTCAATGACTGTATATGTATGTGTACATATACATATGCATAGGGGGAAAAGGCTGGAAGGTTGTATATCTGTGATTCCCAAACTGTGTGCTTAGATGCCTTAGGGCACTGCAGTCAACTCCTAAGGGTGCCATGGGATATTTTAAAATTTCAAGGGACAAAGTGTCATCTGTCTGGTGGCATCTGGTGATGGCTCCAAAGTAACCTCATAACTCCTACAAGTGAGAAGAGAGGACGCTTGGTTTCTTGACATTTAATTTGTACCAAAAGTTCTCTAGGGGGAACTCACAGGAAACAGGACAAGTCAATTTAGCATAAAACCCTAAACGCTTTGTTAGCTGAAAATTCAAGGAGTATCTCTAATTAAAGCCCTTCTAGGAGTCCTTATTCATCAAGGGTGGCAAAGGAGGTCGTTTCAGGGAAAGGCTTCCTAAAAAAAGGGTATCTATTCCATCCTGCTGGATTCTGAAATTCTATAGCCAGAGATTAGTTTAAGATCATTTATTTGGGACATGAAGTTACTGTCGACCTGAGCTACAGAGAAGAGATCGAAACAAACTTCACGAAATCAACACTAGCACATAGCATCCCAACCTTTTCTTTAATGCACCACAGAAACTACAGCTTTAGGCTGGTAAAGGATCTGAAGAGTTATCTGGGCCTAGCTAGGAACCAAATGTAAAAAGTTTGTAGTAAAAATGTTCCCAAGGGCAATATGAAAGAGAAATTGCCTGGGATCAACTTCTGTCCACATGAACTCTTGGTTGCAGACTGACTTGTTAAGCATCAGAATACTGATTATTTAGGGAAAGGTAGGGAGAGGAAAGGGTCCCCAGTGAGGTGTGTTTGTGTACTTTAGTACTTTTGTTTACAAAAACCCAGTTACTGAAAGCCACTTGCCTCCAGGCAGAATTTCTGGGGAATTTTTCTTCCTTCTCTAGGCTGTGGTCAAATTGAGAATGGCAAATGGGTATCAAAACAGGAGCGTTTGCCAGAGCTGTAACAGGTATCCTGTTCCCTGCAAATCCAACCATGTGTTTTCACTCTTGGTACTAACCATTAGAAGTAGTCCACACAGCCTTTTTTTTTTTTTTTTTGGTAAGAAACAATACTTTTATATGCTCAAAAACTATTAGACTTACAGTGCTGATGGCTGGAAAGTAGCCTGTTTGAGGCAGTTGAATACATAGGTTTTTTGGTGGATCAAAATATACACTGAGACTCCCAGGTAACTGATGATAATGGTGATACCCTAGGTCCCCATCTCCTATTATTTCCTCCAAAAATGATATCGAACAAGAAGGTAAAAATAAAACTACACAGAAAAACACACCATCAGCATAACTTGAGGACAGACAATTCCCAAACATCACATTGACTGTTAAGTAAAAAGAGAGAAAACACCAAGTCTCAGCATATTTCCTCCTGTTACAAGGTGAGGGAGGGCAGATTCAGAAAGCTACATGGAAGAGACGAACTAGCAGTGGGTCCTAAGATTGATATAAAACCACCACCAGAAAAATTGTCTGCCCTAAGTCTGAAAAATAGTACAAATTTTTTCAGATAGACACAAACTACAAAAAAGGACCTAAAAGTATGCATATTTTACAGGAGCAGTTTTCTCTATGTAAAGCTTCTGGGGGAGACAAAGACAAACAGGAAGGGAAATCTGCCCTTCAGCAATTGGGAGTGAAGAAGAAAAGAGGCAAAAAGGAAATTTCTAGGACCCTGCAAGACAAAATAAAACCAAAAAATTCAAGGACACGCAGGAGTTGTGTGTGTCCTTCAACTCCTGCATCACCACCCAAACAAACAAATACACTAAAATGTTCGAATTTCGACAAACTGACAGAAGATGGTGCCATTAAACCAGGGATGTTGTGAAACACACCAAAGCCACACAAATGGAGTAAGAGATAGATTAGCAGATCTACATAGAGTGATTGCAAAAGATCAATTAAAGAATATATGAAGCAAGGGTTTTATGTCCAACCATGCTGTGCTTCAAG